GACAATTGGTGATTTTAATTTTAGTTATTGCAGTGTTTTATTTCTTCTTTTGTATAGATTTACTTGTTATTTTTTTGTTCATCTTTTTAAGGTGTTTTGCTGTTGCATGACCCGTAGAGGATTTAAGAAACTATTGCTACCTTTGATAACTAAGATCAAACAACTCTTTCATCAAAGAATATGTGTTCAATGTGCTCAAAGAACCATGTACGAAGTGTAAAATCTAGTTAAGGACCCTACATATTGAAATGGTGTAGTAAATCTTAATGAAGGAGTTGTAGCTCGTCTATGTGTTATTAGAGATCACTAAGCTCCTATCTTGGATGACCTCAAACCTGATATTGTAGCTCCCGAGATTTGGGCAGCCTACTTCTAGCTAAAATTAGTGATGTTCAATATATTGAACTCAAGTAGATAGTTTGGTGGTGTGCCTCATGAGGATGCAAGGTAGCATATTCGTGTATTTTTTGAGGTGTGTGACTTATTTTGAAAACAAGGTGTACATGAGGATATGGTGAAATTAAATTTATTTCCATACTATGTGAGAGATCGAGCAAGGGCTTGGCTTAGTGGAGTACCTTCCAACTCGATGGAATCATGGACAAACCTATGTAAAAGATTTTTTGCAGTATAATCTACCCAATATGAACACCCAACTAAGGAATGTTATTGTTTTCTTTTATCAAGAATATAATAAATCTATGTATGAGTGTTGGGATAGGTACAAGAGTCATCTTTGTAAGTGTACAAACCATATATTCCATGATTATGCCCAAGTTGTTACGTTCTACAATGGTGTAAATGCTCCAACACAGATGATGCTAGATGCTTCAGCAAATGGAACTTTGCTGGACAAGTCACATGAAGAAACTTCAACGTCCTAGTGAAGTGAAAGAACTCAAGGTTGCAAGCTCTTCTTGTGTTCTTTGCCATGACAATCACCATATGAGCGAGTACCCTGAAAATCACGAGTCTAGCAATTATGTGGAAAACTTCAAGCAAAGCAACAACAACCCCTATTCGAACAATTATAACCCAGGATAACATCATCATTCAAATTTCTCATGGGGAAATCAAAGGATCAAACTGACAAAAAATATGACTGAACCCTAAGGTTTTCAACAAAATTTACTGTGAATAATAAAAAGGGTTCAACATCTTCATCAAACTCTAATTATTTAGAAGCTACTTTTTTAAGACTTCATAAAGACTACAAATGCAACATTACAAGATCATGCAAATATCTATTAAGAGCCAATGAGCACTACTTCAAAGTCATAGTGTCTCTCTAAGAGCCTTGGAAATGCAAATGGGTCAAATTGCCCTAGCATTATATGTATGCCCACAAGGTAGTTTACCTAGTGATACTAAAGTCATTAAAGCTTCTGGTAAAGAGCAGTGTAGTGCACTCACCCTAAGGTGTGGCACCCGTATCAATAAAGAAGACAAGTTTAGGGGGTAAAAAACTCGATGATCATAGCCCTAAAATTATGCACGAAGATCCTGAGTTGGAAAATTACTCATCTTCGATGGAAAACAAGGTTGATGGTCCGATTAGTGAACCTAATGATAACAGGCAAAATAAATTCACAGTAAAAGATAAACCCCTACCGACAAGAGATGAGATTAAACCCCCACCACCTTTCCCTTAGAGATTAAAGAAGAAAAATCAAGATCTCTAATTCATGAAATTTATGGATGTTCTAAATCAGTTACACATCAATGTCCCATTTTTGGAGGCCATTGTTCAAATGCCTACATATGCAAAGTTCTTGAAAGATATAGTCACTAAAAAAATAAGGTTGGAGAGCCTGAAACAATTGACACAACAACTAAAAACTTGGTTGTGCTAAATAGTTTTCCACCTAAAAGAAAGGATCCTGACAACTTTATATCTCATGCTCTATAGGTGAAAACTATGTAGGGAGAGCTCTTTGCAATCTCGGTACAAGTGTGAACCTCATGCCTAAATCGGTGTTCATGAAACTTGGTATGAGAGATACGAAACCCACTATAGTTATCTTGCAATTAGTCGACTAATCCCATGTTCGACCCAAAGGAAGGATCAAAGATGTTGTAGTAAAGGTGGATAAGTTTATCTTCCCAATCGATTTTCTCATTCTTGACTATGAAGCCAATGATAATGTGCCCATCATTTTAGGGAAACCATTTTTAGCCACGGGTCGAATTTTAATCGATTTTAAAAAGGTGAATTTATTATAAGAGCGGCTCATCAGATAGTAACAATAACTGTATTCATACACTAAAATATGTGGATGATTCCAAGGAATGTTAATTTCTTTAAGATGTGGACTCTATAGTAGATGAGGAAGCTACAAAATTTTGTTGCAACAATTTTTTACAGTTGGGGGCCTACTTAAATCTTGATGATTATGATGATGATTAGGAAATTGAATACTTTTTAACGGAGGTGTAACAGTCTAGCTTGCTCGTAGCTAGACCAATTATGAGATTTAAACCCTTGTATTTTGATGAATTTACTATTCCAAACTCTCACTTGAGCATTCACCCACACTAGAATTAAAGCCTTTTCCATCACACCTTAAATCTGTTTATTTGGGTTGCAGTGAGACTTTGTATGTGATTATCTAGTCTTAAACTTGAACAAGAAAGTATCTTGATACATGTTTTACCTCAGTATAAGAAAGCTTTGGGGTAGACTATTATTGACTTGAAGGGAATAACCCATACTATTTGCATGTACAAAATTCTGCTTGATGAATACCACAACAATTCTATTGAATCCCAAATGAGACTGAACCCAGTCATGAGAATGGTGGTGATGAAAGAGGTAATCAAGTGGCTAGATGATGGCATTATCTACCCAGTCTTTGATAGTTTATAGGTCAACCCGGTGCAAGTTTTTCTAAAGAAATGAGGTGTAACCATAGTAACAAACGAGGATAATGAACGTTTACCAACAAGGACCATCACGGGGTGGAGAATTTGCATGGATTATAGGAAGCTCAACAAGGATACCAAGAAGGACTATTTCCCACTCTCTTTAATTAATCAAATGTTGGATTGATTGATAGATAAATCTTTTTATTACTTTTTTGATGGATATTTAGGATATAATCAGATTGCTATAGAACCGGAGGACCAATAGAATATGATCTTCACATGCCCCTATGGAACTTAAGCTTTTAGGATGATGCTTTTCAGACTTTGCAACACCCCAACTGAATTCCAAAGATGTATGTTAGCCATCTTTTCAGACATTGTTGAAGACTGCTTAGAGATCTTCATGGATGACTTTTTAGTCTTTGAAGACTTCTTTGATTTATGACTTATCAATCTGGCCAAGGTACTGAAGAGATGTGAAGAGGCAAATTTGGTGTTGAATTGGGAAAATTTTCACTTCATGGTGACTGAGGGAACTGTGTTAGGACACAAGGTATCTTAACAAAAAATATAAGTAGATCGAGTAAAGGTCGAAGTGATTGAGAAGCTACCTCCCCCTACCACGATGAAGGAATTCAAAGTTTTTTTAGACATGCATGCTTCTACAGGAGATTCATAAAGGACTTCTCTAAAATCTCCAAGCCATTATGCACTTTGATATAGTAAAACCAAAAGTTTGTGTTTGATGAAAGTTACTAAAGTGCATTCTATGAATTGAATGATCGACTTATTTCAGTATCCATTGTTTTTCTCCCTGATTGGACTTTACCATTTGAGCTTATGTGTGATGTAAGTGACTAAGTTGTGGGAGCAGTTCTTGGGTAGCATTAAGGTAAAATCTTTCACGTTATTTACTATGCTAGCCGCACTTTAAATGATGCACAAATAAATTACACAATCATTGAAAAAGAATTGATGGTTTTAGTATTTGTATTTAATAAGTTTAGGGCATACTCGATAGGCACTAAGGTCATTATGCATACCGATCACTCAGCTTTAAGTACTTAGTGACTAAAAAGGATGTCAAACCTAGACTTATTATTTGGATACTTATCTTGCAAGAATTTGATATAGAAGTTAGGGATATATAAGGCACGAAGAATTTAATAAAGCAATTGATATTAAGAAAGAATTCCATATGAGAAATTATTATTTTCCGTGGCAATTTAGTGGTATGATGACATTGTCAATTTCCTTGTTAGTGATATTTTGCCTCTTGATTTAAAAAGCCAAAGAAGGAATAAATTCAGTCATGATGTCTGATTATACTATTGGGACGAGCCTTACCTATTCAAGCAATGTACATATAAGATGATTAGAAGGTGTATCCCTGAAGAGGAACAAAAGGAAATCATATTCTATTGCCATTCAACTCCGTGTGGAAGCCACTTTGCGGGTGCTAGGATTGCTGCAAATGCCTACAATATGGATTGTATTGGTCCACACTCGTTAAGGACGCTCAAGACTTTTACAAGTCTTGTAATAGATGCTAACGCACAGGGAAGATCTCTCAACAGCATGAAATGCCATAGCAAAACATCTTAGAGGTGGTTGTCTTTGATGTATAGGGAATTGACTTCATGGACCCATTTCCATTATTATTTAGAGACCTTTACATCTTGGTAGTAGTGGACTACGTCTAAAAATGGGTTGAAGTGGTTGCTAACCCGAGGAATGTCTCTAAAATCATCAGGAAGTTTCTTCACAAGAACATATTCACGAGATTTGGAGCCCCAAGAGCCATTATATGTGATGAAAGAACCCATTTTGACAACAAGTTAATTGCTAGAGCACTACAGATACACATAGTAAGGCATAAAATTGCCACAACATATCACTCCTAAACAAACGGTCAAGTTGAGATCTCTAATCGTAAGATTAAACAAATACTTGAGAACGTAGTTAACCCTAAAAAGAAGGACTAGTCACCCAAGCTAGATAAAACCTTATGGGCATATAGGACAACCTTCAAGACACCTCTTGGGATATCACTTTTCAAGCTCGTCTATGGCAAGGCATGCTACCTATATATCGAGCTATAACATAAAACTTATTGGGCCATTAGAAAGTTTAACATGGATGCCCAACTAGCCGAAGAAATAAGGTTGCTAGAGCTGAATAAAATAGAAGAATTTGGAGCCGAGGCTTATGAGAATGTCTTCTTGTACAGACAAAAGACAAAGAGGTGGCAAGATAAACATCTTTTGCCTCGACATTTTCATGAAGGTCAGCAAGTCCTTCTCTACAACGCAAGGTTTAGGCTGTTCCCAGGGAAGCTTAAATCACAATGGTCTGGTCCCTTCCAAGTGCATGAAGTTTACCCCAATGGAGCTGTGCACATCATGAATCTCGACGATGAAATAGTTTTTAAGGTCAACGACTAGAGACTAAAGGCATACACTGGCGCCCTGATCATTCGAGATAAGTTATTTCTACTTTTCCAAGATACATAAGAGTTTGAATTCTTTCACTTTATCTTCTTTTTGCTATAGCAAAGTTTATGTTTTAAAATGTATATAAATAATTATTTATTTTGTTTTTTTTTCATTTAGTCCATTAACTTGTGTTTAATTCATTTCGTATTTTATTTTTATTTATCTAATGCTAATTATTTTTTTAGTTGCACGTAACACATGCCTAATTATCCAAGGAAATGAGATATTCCATTTTAGGATTAGGGTTTTGTCTTTATTAGAATTAAGGAAGTGGAAAAGTTACCCATAAATCCAAAAAATATTAGGCGATAAAAATGAGGTTATTATTTAGTTTGTAATTTTTGAGTCCACACAATAATATATCTTTTTCAGATTCTCTCTCCCATTTTTTCTCTTTGTATTAGCTCACCATCACACCTGACTACTTCCAAAACCTTATAACCATCAGCCTCATTAAACCCGCACTCCACTTTTCATTTTCTTTTCACAAAAATCTTTTTTCACTTTCTTCTTGCTTTCTCTTAGTTGTCCCTTCCTTCTTCTTTATTCCCAACGAACAAACCCTAGTCCACACATAAATGTTTTGCCTTATTCATCTGCATTATGTCTCTCTACAAGCAAGTCATCGATGCTTTCTCTTCTTCACAAAAGCCTCACAAATACAAATCAATTTTTTTTAAATAAAGCAGGTGAGGAGCGATTATAACTCATTAAGGGTCACCGAGCCTACTTGGAACAAGGCCTCATATTTCCTTTCGATAATGAAAAAGGTTTCTGCAATGAGATTATGGACGTGGTGAACAAACAAAAATGAAAAAAATTCATGAATCATCCTAGACTAGTTGTTGTAATGTTGGTAACAAAATTTTATGCTCATCTCGTCAACCCTCCACTAGATATTGCTTTTGTGAGAGGCAAAAAGATCAAGTTCACCAATTCCACAATAAATAAGTTTTTCTGGTTGAAGAACGTTATGCATTGATACACATCCTTCATTCCAAATGAGGATGATGAAACTTATCAAGAAATCTTCCAGGATTTATGCTTTAAAGGAAACAAATGGAACAACTCCACCACTAGAAAACTTATTGCATAAAGAAGGTGCCTCAAACCCAAGGCCAAGTTATGGAACCACTTTTTAAAGATGATATTATACCCACAACCCACAACATAATTGTTTCTCCTCATCGCATGTTGCTGCTCTACTCGATAATCATGGGCCGACCTATAGATGTTGGGAAGATTATTATTGAGGAGTTATTTGCGTGCCTCAAATGGAAGTCAGATCCTTTGATCTTCCCAAACTTGATCACTTCCATATACTAAAAAAAGGTTTATAAGGATATATTTGATGAATTAATCCTGGGAAAAAAACAGCCTAACCAAAGAAAAATAACAGATCTTCTAGAATCTTCACAAGGTTGTTAAACTTTCAATTATGACTCGTTCTAATACATATTGTTATGCTCAAAATGATCAACCAAAAACCACCAAGAGGGCTTACATTCGTCTTTAAAGATGTGGAATAAATAAAAGATAGAAAAATTAACACAATGACGTGTAATGGTTCAACATCTCAACCAAGTCTACATCCACTATGTTAGCTCCACAATAATGATTTTCTAACAAATTTACTAATTTGTTCTTTCTTTTTCTATTCTTAAGAGTAATCTTTACAATTCTCTAATTATTCAAGGCTAAACTAGAACCACTCCCCTTTTCAATAAAAGATAATTTGTCTAAAAAAGAAGACCTCTCTAGATAGGTGTTTACAAGGATAAAACTCACAAAAATGGATACAAAAGACATAATAATAATGAAGAATCTTTTCTCTTGATCTCTAAGCATGGATAGGTGTAGTGACCTTCTTCAAGTGTCTTAGAATTGTTTTTATATGATGGAATGAGCTTGTGGATTTTGCTAACCATTGGGATTTTTTGGAGCCGTTGGAAGCCTTTAATCCCCTCAATTTTAGCATTTTTGTACAGTGGTTTTGAAACCAAAAGAGGGGGTTTCAAAACCCACTTGAAAAAATGTGATAGTTGGAACAAGGATTTTAGTAATGAGGCAGGGGTTTTGAAACCAACAAGGGGATTTTAAAACCATAATGAAATTTAACCGTTCTGAGCATTCTTTCTCAATGGTTTTGAAACCATAAAGGGGATGATGGACAGAAAGGGAGTAGAGTTCTTTGATGAAGTTGATGAGATGGAAGTACACGCAACCAGAAGTTTGTCAGAAAAGGGGTATTATGCTAAATCCCCCTTAATAATCACGCTGTAACACCCATTTCCCGTGTAAGTACCCGTACACGAGTCACAGATGTCACATGACTTTTAAAACATTTACGTACTTGAAAATCAGTAAAATTTTGTTTCTTTAATTAATCCGTTTAATAATATAGTTTATAAAACGTTCTTCAAATACCATATATATAAAATAACATTTAAAATCCATCAAACAGTAGTTTATGTTCAAATATAATATAATAATACAACCAAGTATCAAGTATCTTATCCGAGCATCATAACATATCTAAGTATGCCAACTAGTAATATCAAAATAAACATCTAGAGATGTCATACTGATATTGAGGAGGCAACACTTGACAGATGATATCAGCTGCACTCCTCACTCCAATTTGTACACTAAACCTACACATGAAAATCGTCACACGCTAAGTATTCACTTAGTGAGGCATAATAAAACAAAAAATGTATTTTAAAAACATGAGTAAACCATTATAAGATCAAAATACGATTTATCGTATAAAATACATAAACACGTAAAAACTGACCTGATAAGCCAAGTTTCTGTCAAATAACCTGCGAAACAATATTTAGTATGCCCATCATACCTATCAATTGATATGTTCAAAAGTATTCATTCATAGCCCAATGTATGTCAAATGAGAATGCAAGGTACATGAGTTGCACATAAGTGCTAAACGAAAGCATAGGTACTTTAGTAACAATGACACTATACTAATATATCAAAATAGTAAATCACAAACTCATTATGAATACCATGCATGCACACATAGTGTCGAAAGTACACAAAGTTAATGATACAAAAATACAACAAATGCATTTAACAAAATTGATCGATAACCATCATACTGCAAGTATGTCAAAATGCACCTATAACTCTCAATGCACATACAATAGGCCTTTAAATTAAATTCAAAGATTCAACATTTATTCTGAAAACATTGACATCTATTAAAATAATATAAAATTCATCCATCTATTTTAGGGCAGTTCATACCCTAAAATCACCATAAACCATTTTCATAAACCTTATGAAAATGTTTCAAAATACGGTAAAACATGCTTTTATAAAAATATTTGTGGTTGATCATAGCAAGTCATCCTCATATCATATAAGTACATAATAAATGCACTCACCTGGTATGCCTCACTATTATACCTTACTGACGAAGTCTAACTATTCTTGAACTTTTCCTTGCCTTTTGGTTTGCTTGTATCACAAATTTGACCACGATCTACACAAGCATCCATAATCACATATACAAAGATAAAGTACAATGTTAGTATCCTTACTGACATTTTTACAAAATAATAATACTCAAAAGTACTATTATTTTCGAATTCTTTTAAATTTCATTTTAATTTTTCCTTTTTATTTATAATGGGCCCATGTCATAAATTCTTTAATTCAAACCCAAATAATCACAATAAAATTCCAGCATTTAATTTCCATCCCAATACCTCAACAATGCCATATTTACCACTTAAGTCACTAACTTTTCCAATATTTGCCATTTTGTACTTAAACTTTGCCAAATTTCAGAAATAGCTAACTTTCACATTCTATCTTCAATTTCAACCCTCAAACATTAATTTCCAACAATGTACATCAATTATTGAGTAATTACACATTTAACACATAACTTTTCAAAATTACCAAATAGGTCCCTTAACTTTTGAAAAATTACAAAATGACCAAAATATTTTTCTAAGGCTTGTAGAACCTTCCAAATATCATTTCTAACCCATGGGAATTTTTCCACAATTTTTCCCAACCTATTTCCTCAAGACCTAATGGGATGAAGTTTAGGGTTCAAGATTTCACTAGGTTCAAACATGAAATCAACCTCAATTCAATGTTTCAAGACCTCTAGAATAAAATCCCTAATCAAATTTCATCAGAAAACTTCTTTCCCCTAAATCTAGGGTTTGCCGAATTCAACATGTGCTTATGTAGCTATGTACAAGTGATTTTAATCATTAATCATGCTTGTATATGATTCTATAACCTCAAAAACATCAAAATCCTTAATCAATTCCATAAATCCTAATGTGAACACAAACCATAAAATTTAGTATCTTTGAACACAAACCAAATTAGCAAGTAATAAAGGTACCAAATGATAGCATTTTTTGAATAGTACAATTTTCTATTTCATGGCATGATCCAAAATCCAAAGGAAATTACACAAAAATGAAAAATAAAATTTATCTTATCTTGGTCATGGGGATATTGAGCTAAAAAATGGCCTAAGTTTCATGTAATTTCATGTTAATTTAACCTTTATTTAAGCTTAAAAGAATAAAATATTAATTTAATGAGAAATATCCATTTTGACGCTAGTGAAACTTGATATTTACCTTAATATCAGGCCACATAAACCTTATAATCTTCCAAAGTCAAAGGCGTAGAAAATGTTTTACCCTTTTCTAATTTTACCAAACAACTTTCCAAAAATTTCAATTTTGCACTTTGATCCAACGGTCCAAATTAAACATGGAAATAAATCTTCAAATCCAATTATCCACATTATTTTCCATCATTTTAATATGTGGAAATAATATTTCTAAGATTAATTTATCATCGATCCGATTATTCTTCAAATCCGTACGAAAAATCTGATTCCCACAGAAACATCATTATGGGAATAAATTGTTCATTTACTGGGCCGGATTACA